ATGCAGTCTTAGGTCCCCCCCCCTTCAAACCCTGCTGTAAAGTGTGTGGCAGAGAAACTGCCTCCCCTTCCCCTCCCTGATGCCTTTAGCTGATTCTCTCTGTGGAAGAGAACTTCTTAAGGAACCTGCCTGAGATCTGCTGCCCTTCAACTCAGGATCTTGATTACTAACATTCTGTAGGTAAATTTCACCTGGGCAGGTACAAACAGGGCTGGAACAGTCTCAGAGGGCTTGGGAATCACAGGAATGAAAAAGTAGCAAGGACTCAGCCACCCGCTCTGGGGCTCAGCTGGCAGTACTGCTGCCACAGCCATAGGACCGCAATTTACTCTCTTTCTCTCTTGTAGTTTTTCCTCCCAAGAAAAGAGTTGCAAACAAGCCCCCGGGCTCTTCCTTCTCTTTGGGCTGAGGAAGGCAGCGCCGTAAACGCATTCAGGCACGTTTACCGGTCAGCCTCTGTCCCTCCTGGCTTCCCCAGCAGAGCCGAGGCAAGATGTTGTCAGTCAGGCCCGTCCCTGCTGACTACCGTCCAGTGCCTTTATCCTGCTGAATGCCCAGCAACGGCCTCTAAACCTGGGGCTACAGTACAGAGCCATTACGTGATTTTTTCCTTTTTGCCACAAGCCGAACCGATGCGTGTGCACACAGTGACAACCGTAAACAAACTTTAGTGAACATCGATCTTTGGCCCTGCCCGGCGGGCAGAGGGGAAGTCCTCGACCTGAAGGCGACCGAGGAGAGGAGCCTGAGGGCAAAGCTGCTGCCCAGGGCTGGAACAGCCCTACGGAGTCCGCGCAGGAATGGCGCCGGGGCTGCGCGCGGCCGATGCGACCCCACAGCAGAGGCCAGGCTCGCTCCGCATCGCTGACGCGCGCTCCCCGTGAGCGCGGCTAGACTGGTTTTACAGAGAAACAGTTCGTGGTTTTCTGGGCGGCGGGGGGAAGGGCCAGCTCGCTCGCTGTTCTGGCCCTCGGCCTCCGGTTTCGCGTCCAGAGTCTCCGGGGAGCGCGAGCGAGCGAGCGAGCGGGCGGGCTGGGACGCTCCTCCGGTCTCGCTTCGCAAACCTTGGGAGAACGCGGGGGCCGCTGGGGCGGGAAAGCGCCCCGCAGCACGAAACGGGGGTCGTCTTCTTCGGGGCCAGGGGGCTAG